GAAATTTGAATCTGAAATATATAAAACTCTTCTGCACAAAGGCATAGGTGTGGGAGTTTGGAACTTGCCTTGACCATAGGGACTGATTTTGAGTCCTCATCACCTGGTAGTGAATATGTCTGTGTATTCTCTGCTGTGCGTAGCTGCTCTTGGCAATGTTGCCTGATTAATAATATCCCAATAAACTGGTGTGTAGTTTGGAGGCTTTGGCTTCTCTTATATTTCTCCAGATAAAATAAAGGCCCCCAGAGTCATCCTGAGTGTAACACATACAACCCACCAGGGTAATTCTGATGGCCTACCATTATTCTTTAGCAAACCACTTCACTAAATGGAAAAGGATTTTAAAAACAAAAGTTTACTGTCCTCCCTGTCCTGTGGTTCGTTAGTCTGTGTGTGTGTCTATGTCTGCAATCCAGCTTTCCCTTTGCAAACTTGTCAAGGGCTTACATCCTGTCAGAAGGGATTCTACTAGTGGCAGCCCCTCCACTGGAGAATGTACTGTACCAAAAGTGGCCCTCAGTAAAATCCCCACTGCATTTGCCCCTTCACTTACATATACCACTAGCCTCTTAGACACAGCTGGATCCTATGTTTTCAAGCCCCTGGGATACCCCAAGCATGACCCATCAATCCACCTCTTGCTGATGCAATTGTCTATGGTATCATCACCCAGTCATATGAGGGGAGTATCCCTAACCAAATGTAGGGGCCAGATGTCAGGGCAGGATATGACTTCTTGAGATGAGCTCAACTTTATATCAGAGGGGCTGGATTTTGAGAACAGTAAAGAGCGGAGACAAGGAGGCTGGGTCCCCATGCGCCAACAAGGGAGAAGACTACAAGACAGACAGCAGAATGAGCTGGGAGCTAACTCAAGCCCACCTGGTGCTACTCTACTTCTTGACATCTATCCTTATGAACATCTACAAGCCACTGATCCGCCCCCTCACTGTGATCACACACCTAGCCTCTCAGTGGGTCATCACCCACATAACTGGGCTCTTCATCCTGTGGCGCTATAGTCTGGAAGTGGGGGTTGCCTTATTCTTCATTCTGTGCAAGAAGCTCTGGGCTGAGATGCTAGCAAGCAAAGCCCTGTGGCAGTTCCTGGCAACAGTCAAAGACTTTTGTCTTTACTTAATCATTGCCCTGCTGCATTGTGCTAGAGGATGCACCATGCAGATGATGGAGTGGCTAAAGCAAGAAGCTTGGGCATTCCTGTCATCCATGAGGCAGTGGGTCTACCATTGGCTGGTTGCCTTTTACCAGGAGAACAAAAAGGCCTGGAAGACTGTGGTGTGGAGAGCCATGCGGCAGGCAGGCTTCTCACTCTTCTTTGGATTGCTCAATGGGATGTTGGAGGTCCTCCACATGTCAGTGCTGCTGATGGAGTATGGAATCACCCACATCTTCTATCATGGGAGGTCCATGTGGTATCCTGCCTCTGAGGATAATACCTTAGATGCCATCACTTCTGTCCTCCCCACTACTCAGGTCCCCTTGAGCAATCGCTTCAAGGGCCCTGCAACCTCAGTCTTCAAAGATGTCCACTTCCCCACTGACATGCTAAGGTTTATGGTGGTCAGTGAAAATAAAAGTAAGGGTCCAGGCAGGTATGGATTGGAGGCCACAGGACTCACTCTACATGAAAGATTCCAAAGCTGCGTGAGAAGGAGGAAGCCATTTTCTGTGTTATCTAGAAGCACTGCAGTGAGGCAGGCCAAGATGGCCTGCACAGTCTTCATTGTGCTCTACCTCTCTGCATTCTCCATTATTGTCAGTGAATAAAATAGGAGATGTGCAATGGCTCACCTGTTTTCAGCCTTTTATGTATAAAAGGCCTCCTTCCACTAACATTTGAGCCCTGATTTTGAGGGAGGAGCCTAATGGCATGAGGTAGGTGCTTGCAAGGTCCCAATGATAATGGGTGTTTTAAACACAAGGTGTTCACTTCTGATGTCCTGATTTAGAGAACAAATACGAATATGGTGGCCACACCTTCCTTTATGAATCCATCTACAAATGAAGCAAATGTAGAATGAGGGAAAGCAGGAAGAAGGTATAGTGTAGTGGGAAGCCAGAGAGAAGACACAAGGAAGAAGGTGAAATGGGAACTGCTGAGGTGGGGGAGTACGGGGCAGAATGAGAGAGAGGCAGGAGAGCTGGGCTGATATTTGAAAATGGAGGGAGGAAGAACATGGAGAAAGTGTTGTCAGCTCTCTCTTGCTTAATGATGTGATTCTATCCTATGTGACAGAGAGCTGTCTGTCAATGTGTGCATCGTGGTGAGGAGTAAAGAGTATTTTAAACCTCTGGAATGTCTAAAGTGTTTGGGCAAAGAAGGTCTGGGTGTTGGTTCTGCCTTCACAAGAGCTTCTTAGCCTCTTCCCACTTGAATGGGGTAATTAATAAGTGAAGACCTCCTCTAATTCTGTGTCTCTTATTCCTTGTCCTCTCCCTTTATGCTATGCTCTTTGTTACAGGCTCTCTTGCTCTTCCTGCTGTCTCATCTAAGTGAAAGCCCAGCTGGGGACACATGCTGTAGCAGAAGCATGGTGAGGCAGACACCTTTGGAAGCGCTAAGCAGTAGGGACCTAGTTTATCTTTGCTGTCTCTTGAA